TTATATTAAATTGATTAACTTTTTCGTCTTATGTATTTTTTTCGTTTTTAATAAATACATCGCTGCAATTGCAGCAGCTATATATCGTCTTCGAACTTCACCTATAATCGCCACTGTACATCTATAATATTTTATATATCTCGATTATAACACTCCATTTTTATACTTATTGCAGTTTATACAGAAGGTTAAACGTGGTGAATAGGATATGGACGACAGCGAACAGCTACTTTGAACGCTACTTTGAACTATGCTGAAGTGGGGATAAAACGCTAGCTATTATTCGCTCCATGAAAAGGATGCAGGTGATAGCGAACAGCTTTTAAACGTTGCTTTGAACAACGATGGAGTGGGGTGAAACGCCAGCTTTTATTCGCTGCGTGAAATCGCACCTTTAATCGATTCGATTCTTTCCCTAACAAATTTAGGGAAAAAGGGTTGTTCGTGTTGATTGCATGTTTCATACTTTTCGCTTTTAAAAAGAAATGGACGCCTAATCAAACGCTTGGAAGAAATAATCGAGTTGATTGTCTCGCTTTTGCTTCTTCCAAACATTCCAATATACTTTTGTCTGGTTTTAAATACGAAAAGTGCGAAGAGTGCAAACAACACAAATAAGCCTGTTTTTGGGGAAAGAATCGAATCGATTCAGAATCGGGCATCTCTAACCTAGACAGAAATAAAAAGTCGGGTCGACGTCGATTCGACTTTTTATTTCTAGCTGGATAGGTTATTTTAGAAGATTTGGTTTGACTGTCTGGGAGTATGTATATGTCCCTAGGATTCTTTTCGAATTACTTATTTTTTGGCGAAGTCGTACCATTTCGATGGTGCAATATTGGCTCTTGCAAACAGGACGCGGTAATGCTTGCCGCGCGGCGGAAGTTCGCGCGACAGCCAATCAATATGCTACTTTCCGTAATAACTTCTAGTTCTTACGGAAAAACAACATATTGATTGGCTATCGCGCGGACTTCCGCCGCGCGGCAAGCATTACCGCGTCCTATGTGCAGGAGCCATATCTCTTTTCAAATCATGGAGTGATATTAAGGTAAAGTGAAAGCTGCCTGAAACTATATATTGAAGGAAGAAAGGTTATTATAAGTTAGAGTGGGCGCGTCTCAGGGATTTTCAGCATTTTCTGCATGTTTTCTGCATATTCTGCACGTTTTTTGCATATTCTGCGCGTTTTCTGCATATTTTGCGCGTTTTCTGAGCATAATGACTTGGTTTACATCGTGCACTTGATACGCGTACTAAATAAATTAACTTTTTATTAGATAATCTTAATATCGACGATATATATAAACAACGGTATATTAAGCTGTATAATACTCACCAACAAAACGTATTGTATTGATAGAATGCGTCGCTATTGATATGCATTGTCGATATTAAGATTATCTAATACAAAGTTACTATTTAGTACGCGTATCAAGTGCACGATGGGTGCTTTCCAGTTACGTACACTGTGTTACACAAAACTAGTTTATTTGGTGCATATTATCTTACAAGATATTTTAGATAATATGTAACCAATAAACTGGTTTTGTGTACTTATGGGTAAGATGTGTTAAGTAATTGGGAAGCACCCGATGTAAACCAAGCCAATAGCGTCAGTACTTAAGGGCAGTAAATAAAGGAAGTAAATAAAAGAACGCACCCATTATTTGTTTTCTCAACTGAAAAGTACAAATCTTTACGTGAATATTTTCTTTCCTTACGGCTGTAGTTATTAAACTACTTAAGACTGTAATCATAATATTGTTGATATATATATATATATATATATATATATATTAATAATAATTAATATATGTTTTTTAATAATATATTTATCGTAGTAGAAATATATGTCTTTCTATAATTCAATACATTTCTGATTAAATTGATATATATGCCTTCTGTGAGAAGAAATCTCGCAAAATTGATAGATATACCGATGAATATAATATTTACCTGCAAATCTCGACTTTTCGTATTTCAGAAAAATATGAAATAAAGGGAACGAGCGAACATAATCATTCGCCTCAATAAAAATCTTATTGTACTTAGATGAATATAATATCCATATTTTTTCTCATGCAAAAGTATGGTTTACTGTGAAAATGTGTTTCATTATGAAACATATTTGTTGCACGGTGAACTATTTATCAACTTACAAAAATAGTCTATTTCTCTTTAAAGTATAGATATTGTCAACTTATTTATTACAAATTATAGTTAGATAAATTTATTAACCATCCCAACTAACAAAATTGGTTTTAAACAATTAATTGTTATTCTATAGACTACAGAAAAACGGTTGATTCACTGTTCAACATGTTACTTTACTGCCAGTAAACTTCGGAACGCAGCCGTAAAGGTTCACATTCCAGTATAGTATATAATTAACTGAATATCATAAGAATAAACGTTTTTTGTCATGTACAAATTAATACGAACGTGTAAACGCTTGATAAATACCGAAGCGAAATGTCTGAATGAAACACAATGGATAAAACCAATCGGTCACGACACCGAAGTGACTGTGTATAACCCGATAACGAAATGCAAAGTACCTCTGATCTTAAAAACCAAAAATATTTTGAAATGGTACATGTGTGGCCCTACAGTATACGACTCGGCTCATATTGGACATGCAACGTAATAAAAATATAATCTAAACAATTTTGAAAAGATAACTTAAAGAGAGAAATGTTTTATAACGAGTTTAGTTATTATCTGACATGTTAATAATTTAAATGATTAATAATAGATAATTGTTTTAACATATAACTAACTTGTTTTTAATATCTTTTTAGCACCTACATAAAATCAGACATTATTCGCCGAATTTTAACGGATTATTTCAACATCGATGTGCTACTGGTAATGGGTATAACCAACATCGATGACAAAATAATCAAACGTTCCATTGAGATGAAACAGGACTTCAAGACTTTGTCAAATCATTTTGAAATGGGATTTTTGGAAGACATGAATAAGTTAAATGTCCGTAAACCCTACATGTACTGCAGAGTTACAGATTATGTGCCACAAATTATCAACTTTGTTGAGAAGCTTATAGCTGATGGCTATGGTTACATTACAAAAGATGGTACAGTATATATAAACAGAGAAATATCTTAATCCTTTGTAACTAAAAAAGAAATGTCTGATGTTTTTATTGAAATAATTTTTATCTGCAAGTATATCTACAAAAATTTAAAAAAATATATATAGGGTCTGTCTATTTTGATACAAGCAAGTACAATAGATATGGTAAACTATCGACTCCCTTGCCTGATACTGCTCATCCAGATAAGAAGTCTGCATTGGACTTTGCTTTGTGGAAAGCAGCCAAAGAGAATGAACCATCCTGGCAATGCCCATGGGGTTATGGTAGACCAGGATGGCATATAGAGTGCAGTGTAATTGCGAGGTAATCTCAACAATTTAAATCTTTTTGTATATGTGTATACATATACACATACTATGGTTTCTTCTTATGTGATGATATTGATCCTCTTTATTCAGAACTTTCCTCTATCAATAAAATATCTTTCTACATGTACCTATGAATTAATCAGGAGACTTATGAGTTACATTTACAGGCACTTCTATCAATAAAAGAGTTTAGAATAAGAGCTATTGTGTTTTTGTTTATATTTCTGTAACAAAGTCTTTTAGCATTATATTAGTGTAATAAAAATTTTTTTAATATAAAATACAAAGAATATCCTAAAAAAATTTGATATTTAAGCTCAATAGCAGATATAAATTCCTTCATGTGAAAAAAACACTACATAGAAATTTGCATTTTTATTAGTGCAGTCCTTGGAAATTCTATAGACATGCACAGTGGTGGAATAGATCTGGCTTTTCCACATCATGAGAATGAAGAAGCGCAATCCTGCTGTTACCATGGTATTGATCAATGGGTGAATTATTGGCTCCACTGTGGTCACTTGCATCTGAAAGGTGATGTGAAGATGTCGAAGAGTCTGAGAAACACTGTAAACATACGTGATTATCTCGAAAAGTATTCAGCAAATCATCTCAGAATGCTCTGCTTACTTTCTCATTATCGAAATGGTATGTGCATAAGTCTCAGTACTGGTTTTAAACTACTCAATTGGTGTGTAATCGATCGAATTCTACTGCAGGACTTGAATTTACGGACGAAATTATGCAGAATGCGGTGTCCGTGACAAAAAAGATTGAGAATTTTGTAAGTGACTGCAATACTTACGTTGTGGGTAAATTGCAAACCGGCAAGATCGATGAAAATCTCTTGCTTACTGTAAGTTAGAATATGAACTCCTATTCATACTATTGTATTTCTATACACATATGTTCAGAAAATACGATTTTAAAAACTTAAACATTTGTTCACCTTCTTAATTTGCGGATGAATAGTCTGTGACGAAAATTTGATCGTTTTTAGACGTTACAAAATACGAAAAATCAAATTACGACAGCCTTGGCAGATGATTTTGACACCGCGCGGGCGATGCACGCAATATTAGATCTTGTGAGAATAGGAAACAAAATGCTCGGTCAGAATGACGTAAGCTGATCGCATAAGAAATTATTTACAGTTAATATTATTGAACAGTACTCTTATGTCACATATGTTCAGTTTCGTTCTCGACTTTTAGGTATCGTCGAGCAATAACGTTAACGATAGCCATGCAAGTGCCGTTGCTGTAGTTTCGAATTACGTTTCAAGTACTCTTTCGAAACTTGGATTGTCGCAATATACAATATCAACAAAAGATCGACGAATTGAAGACATCATAGAATACTTTCTGAAATTCAGGACAGCTGTCAGGAACATGGCACTCGAGAATCCGAAGAATAACGTTTTGATGAAAAAATGTGACAATGCACGGGAAGAACTATTCACTTGCGGGGTTCTAGTGAAGGTGAAAACTTTGAACCTACGTGTGATGTACTTAAAAATATTAATGATTTCATTTCAATTATCATTACTCTGTTACAGGATCACAAAAACAGTTCCACTTGGAGGTGGAAGTAGCATGTAGGAACAAATTCTCCAATTGTACATTAAAAAACGTATTAAAATAAAATAAAAATGTATTAAGGTAATTTTTACAGTTCATAGAGATTTAGTATAAATTAACAGTCACAAATTGTCAATTAATCAATAGAATCTGTAGTTCTTAGTTTCTTCACGTTCTCGTTACTATTATCAACTTTTCTCTTTTGACTACTTTTCTTCTCTGACATTGTCTTCTTCAAGCCCTTCATCTTCCTTGTTTGAATGCTATTGATGTTTTGCGTGCCGACATGTACACGGCCGTACGTAGTGCCGAGTGTATCTTCGGAAATATTCTTCTTTTTCTTGACCTATAATCATGATTGTAGTATTAAATTAAGTGTTTACACCTTCTACACCAATAACATAGACCTGTAGGAATACTACCTTGAGTGCTTTGGGTTTCTTGCAGGCTTGCTTGAACAAATCTTCAGACGCAAACTTGTTACGCCTGCACAGCAAGTCTGCACGCGGTCCTATTTCCTCCAGTTCTATTCGAGGTATCTTTGTGTCGGATTTCTTCAAAAGTATTCTAGAATTGATATACACACATGGTAATTGCAGTTTAATTGAGCAAACTCAAACATACGTTTGATATATTTTGAGTTAAATTCTTATAATGAAACATTAACAATTTTAAGTGAAAAATCTCCAGGGTTGGGTAATAACTAGTTAATTAGTTAAAAGTTAAGTTAAAAAGTTAATAATTTTTAACTTGGTTAATTTTAAGTGATTTAACTTTTAACTGAAACTAGTTACTCTTTGAAAGTCTATTAACCTTAACTTATTAATTTTTTTTTTATATAAAAGAATCATTTATCAATAAATCTAAAATTGCAAACTGTTAGCAATATAGAATAAAAAAAAAAAAAAAAAAAAAAAAAAAAAAAAAAAAAAAAAAAAAAAAAAAAAAAAAAAATAGAATTTGTTTTGTCACTGAGCAACAGTATACCTTTCTTTTGTGGAATCTGAATAAAAAAATAATTAGTACTCCTTTTTGTAAAACTAACTTTCCATTATTTTGCATAAATTTAATGTACTGTTAATAAATTAATTATGCAAAAAATATATGTTTTACACAATTAACTTTTAATTTTAATTAATTTTAATTTAAAAAAATCTAGTTTTTGTTTATACAACTTTTAATTTAACAAAATTAATTTCACAAATCATTTATGTTAAACTTAATTAAAAAGAAAAATTACCCAACTTTGGACATTTTATGGAATGAATTCGTAATTTGACCATTATCTTACCTATAACTACGTAGAAGTATCTTATTCTCAACAGCTGTAAAACTTAAAACATGTTCAAGACCTTGTAGTCTGATTTTTTCAACTGCTTCTCGTTGAAACATATCAATGAGTAAGTTCTTAATTCTGCCATACTCATAGTTGTTTTCAAAGAGTTCACCATTGAAGATCAATAGTGGTTTTATTCCAGAAGAAATTTTTGCAATCTTAAAGTCCTTCAATCCTTTATAATTTTCTACTCCAAACTCTATCATATCTAGTAACGTATGTTCGTACAATCGACCCATCACAAGATTATGTGGACGTTTTTTGTTGTGCAATGCCATTATGAAAAGAGGTGCATTGTACTTTGATGCAAATTTCTCAAGAGGTACGATATCTTCGAATGGCAGTATGTCATTTTTCTTTTGCATCATCTGTACATTGGGTTTCTTCAAATCATACTGGAAAATATTATATATTTTAATCATTTAATTAATTTTTATTTTCATTATTAATTCATTTAACGTTTGATCACACAACTGTTTGGGAAATCTACTAAATGCTGAAACAATATATCAGTAAGTCACATGTGCTTACCAGATCTTTCATTATATCAACGGCAACCTGTGAGGTATGTTTACCTTTGAGACACAAAGCCTCCTTAGCATCTTCCACTAATTTAGGTTCTCTTTTTAATATAGCCTTTTTGCCCTTATGCGTGGTTGGCTTCCTGTAACAAGAAATCGCATGATAAGGTGTAATACACAAAACAGCTAACCTAATGTGATATAAATACCTACAAAATAAGTGAGTATGTAGTTTAAATTACTTACACGATTCTACTTATGACCGGCATAATATAGCGATAGATATGATAGTTAAGATTACAAATATCTAATATTTTCTGAAAATTTAGAGTTAGTAGCAAAAAGAAATTTGAGCGAGTATCCCGGTTTTACTTGATATCGCTTTGCTCTCTCTTTCTCTATGGCTGCGTTCCGAAATTCACTGCCAGTACTGAAAATCTATAGTATACGTAACATAAACTATAAGTTTTCAGTACTGGCAGTGAATTTTGGAACGCAGCCTATGGTTCCACAGGTCTGTACTTAGTGGCCCTTTTACCACACATGAAGGAAAACTATTAGGAGATACCGCTTTGCGCAACTATTTGATGCGCCAACTACGTCTATTTTTATTGAGAATCTGCAAGAGGTAAGCGGACAAAATCCATAAAGAAGAGGAGATAGCGTTGGCAACGTTCAAAAATTCCTAGGATCTATAAATTCATTTTTCAAGGTTAATATCATTGTCGGACGGGAGAGTGTACAGAGGTGTAAAGTTGTGACAGGTTATCAGTGGGTGCTTTCCAATTGCTTAACACATCTTGACATATACGTACACAAAATCAGTTTATTGGTCACAATAAATTGATAACTGGTATTATCTAAAATATCTTGTAAGATAATATACAACTAATAAATTGGTTTTGTGTAACACACAAAACGTAACTGGAAAGCACCCAATCTGTTTTTTTCAGCTGCCCGTTGAACTGGTGCAATAAGTTAAAATGAGACAAGTATATGTTTTCTCTTACTCTAACTTGTTGCATCAATTCAGCAGTGCAGCTGAAAAGAACAGACTACCAATATCACGATATCAAAACTAGAGATGCCTGATTCTTAATCGATTCGATTCTTTCCCTAATTCGATTCTTTCCCACAAATTTAGGGAAAAAGGGTTATTCGTGCTGCTTGAATGTTTCATATTTTTCGCTTTTAAAAAGAGATGGACGCCTAATTAGATGCTTGGAAGAAACAATCGAGTTGGTCGTCTCGTTTTTGCTTCTTCGAAACATTCCAATATACTTCTGTCTAGTTTTAAATACGAAAAGTGCGAAGAGTGCAAACAACACGAATAAGCCTATTTTTGGGGAAAGAATCGAATCGATTCAGAATTGGGCATCTCTAGTCAAAACTAAACATCACGGGAGTGATGGCTCCTGCACACTGGACGCGGTAATGCTTGCTGCGCGGCGGAAGTTCGCACGACAGCCAATCAATATGTTGTTTTTCCGTAAGAGCTAGAAGGTTATTACGGAAAGCAGCATATTGATTGGCTGTCGCGCGAACTTTGCCGCGCGGCAAGCATTACCGCGTCCTGTGTGCAGGAGTCATAACACATTTTGACACACACGTACACAAAACCAGTTTATTGGCCACATATTATCTAAAATATCTTGTAAGATAATATGCAACCAATAAACTAGTTTTGTGTAACACAGTGTACGCAACTGGAAAGCATCCTATGTAATCAACATCACGCGTGCCCCCAAGGGATAAGGGCTATCGCACACAAATTGACATAACTGCATATGCATAGCATAAGATCGTATGGACCAATGAGCATCGAATATTAAGCATCGAACACCAATATGGTGACTTAATGCTCATGCTCATTGGTACATACAGTCTTATGCTATGCATATGCAGTTATGTCAATTTGTGTGCGATAGCCCTAAATGTCAAAAAATCATGAAGTCAGATTTCGATGGTAAAACAGGAAGGAAGAGAGAGAGATGGAATATGACATACGCCGCGCTATTTTATCATGTTTGATAAAGTGCAGAACTACTTGCAGTATAAATAAAATATGTATGTATAAACTTAACACACAATAGTGAAATAAAGACAACAATAAGTGTATAAATAAATAAATATATTTATTATTGCGTATACATAGCATATAAAATATATTATTAAATATACATAAATATTGTATAATTAATAGATTCAATAATACATATATATGTATTATTGAATCTATTAATTATACAATATTTATGTATATTTAATAATATATTTTATATGCTATGTATACGCAATAATAAATATATTTATTATTGCGTATACATAGCATATAAAATATATTATTAAATATACATAAATATTGTATAATTAATAGATTCAATAATACATATATATGTATTATTGAATCTATTAATTATACAATATTTATGTATATTTAATAATATATTTTATATGCTATGTATACGCAATAATAAATATATTTATTATTGCGTATACATAGCATATAAAATATATTATTAAATATACATAAATATTGTATAATTAATAGATTCAATAATACATATATATGTATTATTGAATCTATTAATTATACAATATTTATGTATATTTAATAATATATTTTATATGCTATGTATACGCAATAATAAATATATTTATTATTGCGTATACATAGCATATAAAATATATTATTAAATATACATAAATATTGTATAATTAATAGATTCAATAATACATATATATGTATTATTGAATTTAATTTAATTATTTAATTTAATTATTGAATTTAATTATGCAATATTTGTGTAATTATAATTATATAATATTATTACCCGCTAAAAATTACGACTTTTGTTAACTTGTGTCTAAAAAAATCTGTTTGTTTAGTCATTGTAATGCATTTACTTTCATACAATAATTTTACTTGAAAATAAAATGTTATTATTAATTTAATTAATATATATTTGTGGTTCTCTAATATGTCCAGTTCTTTGACATGTATGTAAAAATTAACGAATATCAAGCATTGAATTGGTAAAAGTATAGGTTTGCTACTATACGTGAGTTTACAATATGTCATCGAAATACTGGGATTCGCCACTTATTCCTTGGAGGCGCTCTTCATGTTGATTATAGCGTGAGAATGCCAACTGGCAGTCCATACTTAATAGTCAAAGGATAAAGCAGTGTGGAACAGTAGCAGTGCATCGTAGAGATAGTATAAACGATCAGTATTGTATTGTAAAGAATCGAGGAATTCTGTATATTTTGCAAATATGCGGCGTCGATCATATGCTATCAGAGGAAGATCGAGCTCTACTTCTCAACATAGGGAGGGTAAAATTTATTTCTTATTACGGAAATCTACCGCATTCTTATTGACACACAAGTTCTCCTAGGAGAATTTGTTTTGGCTATTCGCACTTGTTTATCAATTTCTAACGAATCTCACAAATGCAAATAAAATAACTTATTTGATATAGATAGTTTCAACTAAATTTTTTATACGTCATGTATAGATGTCATTTTATTAATTATACGATTTACTTTCACAGAGAATTGTTATAATTTTGCATTTATTTTAAAGCTTAATTTTCCAAGATCTTAATTTTTGAATATATAGATGTACCTTGAGTTGCTGCTTCAACTTTATAAAAAGTTGTAATTTCTTTTTCTTATATCAAAATATGTAGTTGTGAGAATTTAAGACAATTCTAAAATATATATTTTATAGAAGAGATGCAGTCATCTCCCTCTGAACAAAGAAGAACTTGTATACATGGCAAAAAACAAGGACATCCTCCTGGATTGAGAGGAAAAGAAATAGGGCTATATTATAGAGACAGAAATAGAGCAAAAGCAAAACATGCAAGAGCAAATAGTCCAGTTCTCAAGTTATCTTCTTACTTGAGTCAAAGAATTAAAACCACTCTAGAACTTACAAACTTTCCTTCAGAGCTCAATGGAAAGTCTGAGTGTGAAAACAAGTATTATCACATCTCTGATTCTCAGTTCAAGAAAAAATTTTTAGAAATTATAAATGGTAATATTCAGTGCAATCTTGCCACAGCTATGAATATACCATCCAAACTACAAAAAAATAGCATCTTAGATAAAGCACTGCAAACAGAGTTTGAGAATAAACAAAATCAGAGTGACTATAAAAATATGCTGAAATTTCGGTCAAAGTTACCAGCCTACCAGAAAAAGTCGGAAATATTACAATTGATTAAAGATAATCAAGTTGTTGTTATTAGTGGAGAAACTGGTAAGTTGTAGGTGTTTGTCAATAGTAGAGGATAAAGACGAGGGTTTGTGAAATTGTTCTACACTATGTTGTCGCATTATGATTTTACCAGAACTACTGCAATTAATGACTCATTTTTGTTAGAAAATAGTCAAAATAACAAGTTAAAAAAATTAACAATAAGTAAAAAATAAACAAGAGAAATTTATTTTTCTTAGTTTTATTCAACTTTAATTAAAAGTAATATAAAATACACCATTATAAATTTGGATAATTTTTATAAGAAATTACAAACTCATCCTTTTTAGACTGTTTTAATAGTTCTAATGTTAATGAATTTGTTTTGACAATGAATTTGTTTTGTTAATGAATTTGTTTTGACAATGGTTTAAATTTCTTGGTACGTTTGATAGTACATTGACAATATTCTGTAAAAAAATTTAGGATGTGGCAAAACGACGCAAATTGCCCAGTTTATATTGGACGATCAGTTGGAAGCTGGAGAAGGTAGCATTACTCGAATTGCTTGCACACAGCCTAGAAGAATTTCTGCTATTTCTGTCGCTGAACGTGTAGCCGCGGAAAGAGCAGAGAAACTTGGAAAATCTGTCGGCTATCAGATACGACTTGAAAAGTATATTATCAATGAGAAATCTCTGCACTACATATTATTTTACAAGAAATTGACATAATTTCTAAGTTATTGCCTTCCTTTACGCGCAGAGCCGTACCGCGAGAGCAAGGCAGCATATTATTTTGCACGACCGGTATATTATTGCAACTTATGAAAACCGACCCAGCGTTGAAGAATTTTTCTCACGTGATATTGGACGAGATTCACGAGCGTTCTACAGAAAGTGACTTCATCATCACGTTATTGAAACAAGTTATCCCGAGAGTAAGTATCACAGTGTCTTTACGTTATTATTGTGCAACATAAAATTTTGGACAGAGGTCTGAGAACTTTACTTTACAGAGAACAGACTTGAAAATTCTCTTGATGAGCGCGACACTGAATTCTGAAAGATTTTCGGATTATTATGAAAAATGTCCGATGATACATATACCGGGATTCACTTATCCAGTAGAGGAATTTTATTTAGAAGATGTTTTATTGTTCACTAGGTAGATATTGGATAGTACCATTGAAATTAACATGTTTAACTGATAATTATTAGTACAATAAATTTTCTAATATATTTCGAGACATCTAATATTTTCTTTCTATTTGTAGATTCAAATTCCCTGAGCCAAAACCAGAACCAGTTTATAGAAAATATATGAAAAAATCACTAGGTAAAAAACATGAATTTACGGATATGATAGTACCTTACATTAGGCAACTTACAATTGAGGTAAGTCAAATTCTGTTGAAAACATAGATATTATTATGTGATTCATATAAGAGAATACATACTCACGTACGAATACATGTGTGTGTGTGTGTGTGTGTGTGTGTGTGTGCGCGCGCGTACACACACACACATATATAAAGGGGAATTATATAGAGATTGTATTAATAATGGTGATATTGATTTTTTTGAGTTAATATATTTTATATAATTACACAGAAAAAATACCCACCATATGTTGTTAAACAATTACAAAATTCGAATAGTGAAGATATGTCATTAGAGCTTACAGAAGAATTAGTTAGATACATATGTGAGACAAAAGGTCCAGGAGCTATTCTTATTTTTTTACCTGGTATGATGGATATATTGAAGTTATATAAAATGATGATAAAATCACGTTATCCAGACTGTAAGTATTTATATCGTTATTTATATCGTTAATGTGGCAAATTTTACATACGGTATAACGGTAATAGATAAATTTTCTATTTTCGACAGACAAGTATGTCATCTACCCTCTTCATTCGCGCATGCCAACGGTTGACCAGAAACTTATATTTCAAGAACCGCCTAACGGCGTTCGTAAAATAATTATTGCTACTTCGATCGCCGAGACGTCGATAACTATAGAGGACGTAGTGTACGTGATAGATTGCGGGAAAACGAAACTCGGAAGATTCGACGTAGAGAAAAATATTCAGACTTTAGAACCTGAATGGGTATCTTTGGCTAATGCTAAGCAAAGACGCGGCAGAGCGGGCAGGTACGATATTACACGTCACATTGTCCGTTTGAAATCAATCAAAGAGAATAGTGCATTTTCTTGAATTTGATAATATTGAGGACAATATTTGCGCGCTTTGCAGGGTTAAGAGCGGAGAGTGTTATCATATGTATACGAGAGCACGGGAAATGACGTTCGATCATTATCCATTACCAGAAATGTTGAGAACGCGTTTGGAAGAGGTAATCTTGCAAATAAAAATGCTGCAGTTAGGGAGAGCCAAAGAGTTCCTAAGTAGCGTTATGGATCCGCCAAATCTAAAAGCCATTGACCTGTCTCTCGATTTGCTCAGGACGCTCAATGCCCTCGACGAAGACGAGAACTTGACACCTTTGGGCTATCATTTAGCACATCTACCGCTTGATCCTAGAACAGGTAATTCTGTTCATCTGTACCATTCCCGTCATGTTAACGATTCAACTAATTGCTGTTGCATCTCATTCAGGAAAAATGATTCTCTGGGCGGCGTTGTTCTCCTGCGTCGAGCCAATATTCGCCATCGCGGCTAGTCTCACGTTTAAAGATGCTTTCTACTGTCCACTTGGAAAGGAGGAAGAAGCCAATGAGAAGAAACTTGAGCTTAGTATGGGCCAATGTAGCGACCATATGGCACTCGCCGAAGCTCTAAGGCGATTTGAGTTGGCGTACCAACAAGGATTCGCCAGCCAGTTTTGCCGCCAGTATTTTCTCTCTTACAACACGCTGAGACTTCTCTCTGAGATGAAACATGATTTCGCGAGATACTTGCATGAGATGAAGTTTCTGGACAGCGAAAATCCGAACGATACGAATGCTAACAGAAATTCAAATAACATGGCTTTGATAAAGGCTATCGTCTGCGCTGGATTGTACCCTAATATCGCCGTCGTGAGGTACAGCTCTCAGCTATTTACAATAATTTGTAATTCACGTTATGTCATATTGATCATAAACGTGTTTGTTGAGACTGTTTTTCGATTCTAAAGATATTAGCTCTTTGATAAGTTATTGGTCGATATATCTCTATCGAATGGACTGAATTCTATTTTTTTTTATTAGGCGAGTTACGCAAAATGGAGTAGTTGGTTGGACGCCAGAGGATGGCAGGGTATATACACATCCGTCGAGCGTGAATAATAAGAATCGCCACTTTCTCAGCCGATACTTGACGTATTTCACGAAGCAACGCTCCACCGCTATATTCTTGCACGACACTACGTGTGTGAGCCTACCAATTTTATTGTTTGCTAGGCCGAATATATTGATAAGTACGTTTTGTCCATATAACTAGAAGCTATCATACTGTGCACTTTCAGCGATATCATTTGTATTTCAGAGCGAGAACATGGAAAATGCAGGATAAGTTTCTTTTCCGATAATATTGCTTTCGAATCGGACACGGCGGAGGTGATAAAGGTACGAAGACCGATACACTTATGTCGATGTACTTTTTTAAAGAAGCAAATTTTTTCTACGTAATATCTTAGAAAAATCTAATGTATGTGTGTGTGTGTGTATGTGTGAGAGAGAGACGGTAATGTATATAATATCTGACATGTAGGAACTTCACGGGACTCTGAATACTTTATTGGAATATAAAATCTCGCATCCGGCAACGGTATCTTGGTCGTCGTCCGAAGGACAATTGCTCAAGTGAGTGCACGTACTTTTTATACGATTACTTCGTACAAATGTGTTTTCATGAGCACGCGACAAATTTACACGTATTTGTCGTTACAGAGCGATCATTGAACTGGTGTCCCAAAAAGATGAAGAGATAGGCTTTGGCGAGGATATGTCTAAGGAGGACGTCAATGATTAAAAGAATCCATGGACGATAACTTTTAATATTGATAGAATTATTAATTTATTTTTTATGTTTTATAAATTTGTCAATTGTTCGTTATGTTTTATTGTACTGTATTAATTATCGCATTGGTAAGTTGCGCGATTCCTGTGTGTTTTTCATTCCTCCGTAGATATAATAATGAACGAATCGTTATATTTATACGTTATATGCATACACGTAACGTTCACATCATCTTAGCAACCTCTTTCCATCAGTCTCAAATCGTCACGGAATACCGCTTATTATTATCGAGAGTAAGCGTTTAATATATAACGATAAAAAGGAACTTCGGTATGAGTGTCAGCCACAAGTACACACCATGTTGCACGCGATAAAGACATTTTTTGACGTTAAAATGCTTGACTTCTGTGCGTATACATGTGCCGCGATCCACTGTAGGACACATTTGCATTTAAACTATTAAAAAGCAAAAAAAGAGTACAAATAAAAAAAATAATTCATTTTGTGTAGACTCACGATTTATGTAAAAGTTGCGTGTGTATTGTCGCGATTACATCGAATAATCGCACTTAACGGGTCACGATAAGCCATTGTGTGGTTATTGTTTATCCCAAATTGTCTCAAGTGTCAACTGTATACGTGTATAAAGTAATCTAACTATTTGAATAGCAGCTGCTGCTGCGACTTTTCATTGTTTGTCTACTTGGATGTGTAAAACGACTTAGAGTTAGACTAGATCAACGAGAATCATTTAGCAGAGGAGAAGCTGACAACAGTGTAAAACGACGTACGCGCGATTCTCAGCGCTCCGTGGTGCAACGGGACGTGAACTTTTGACCCTCCCATACTTCACGCGATCGTCAATAAAATACTATATCCAGTCTCTCTCTCTCTTTCTTCCTCCCTTCATCTGTCTCCCCCCTCTCTCTCTCTCTTTCTCTCTCTCTCTCTCTCTCTCTCTCTCTC